CACATAATAGTACGTGGTCCGCCATATTTGTGATCGCAATATGACCTCTTGAAAAGGTTTACCGTGATTGACATCTCAAACATTCTAAGTAGGTGTTCGATCTATATGTGTGAACGCCTGTATAGCTTAAGTATACTAACAAATCTTAAGTAACTACTTTGTGACGTATGGACTTTAGACTCACTTAATCTCTAGTGTGAACCCACCAAATATCTCATCGTAGCAAGATCTCCATGTTTTTTCCATATCTGTAGAGCAGTGTGTRTCTTGTAGCATGGTGATACCCGTCTTACCGCCGTGATTTTCTAGCCAGTGAAACATTTTACGACGTTTTTTTTTTGTTTTCCCATGCCACGGACATTGAGTGATATGACCTTCAACTTTTCTCCGCTCATGAGTCTAAACAAAACCTATACAATTTATACAATAYGAAGCAGCAAAATAAAATACACACGRCACAGGACAAAAACATTACYCAACGTTTAACAAACAAAAGGTAAATGAACATTTTGTTTAAATACATAAAGGAACAATAAGAGATTGAAAACAACATCCTAATTAAGAGGTATTTATCGGATCTACGGCTGGCCACCATGAGAATTACGCTTAAAAGATTGACTAGAAATTTGCATAGGTTAATTTTGCCTAATAATTTTCAAAATTTGCGAGGAAAAACAAGGTTACTGACTATAAGATCACTAAGTTCCTACTCTTGATCGCTTGATATTATATAAAGGAAATAAAGTACAATTTATAAAATGAGAATTAAAGAAAAAGATAGTCCTTATCTGTCTCCTGCTCGCATGGTTGTTACTCGTATAATTCTTCCATATRAGCTTGAGTGTTTATCCTGTAGGTTCGCCCTTCTTTCATTCTCWTGACATAGATTTTACCGTCGAGGGTCCAGGTTGAATACCAGTTGTACTGTTTTGCTCTTTTCCTTACTTCGGAAAACAACGCTGCTCTTTGTTTCGTTAGGTMCTCGTTAATGAASATCCTTGAAGCTCCATATAGGCAGTTGGTTGATTCAAGTTGTTCAAGAGATAATGACTACTGGCTTCATAAAGCTCCTTTTTCGCTGAGTATTGAACAAATTTTACTATTATAGGCTTAGGTGTAAATCTGGATGGCAGTCTGTGAACAATGTTTATATGGTTGTATTCGATTTCTACGTTGAGAGCGTCACCCAATTCTCTGACAGCTTCTTCTAAGTCTTCTTGTCTTTCAGGGATACCTTGAATTATTAAGTTATGTTTCCGCTGATATTGCTCGTAATTGTCTTGAGATACGCTCAGTTTTTCCACTCTGTTCTTCAATTCATTCCTATCGTCATTTAGACGTTTGATTTCTTCTTTGTGTTCTTCGTTTTCTTTCGTTAATCTGTCAATCTTGCTTGTTTGAGATTTCATGGTCTGCTTTATCTTCTCTATGTCTTCTTTAACTTCTCTGCTGTCATTCACCAGGGTATTTATATTTCCTTTGATCTGCATCATGATTTTGTAAAGCATGATTAAAGTAGGAACTTGCTCAACGTCTTCATCAAACGTTTCATGGTCGTCCATCTTTGTATGCGAATCTTGGCTAGAGCTTGATGATATCTCCTCTCTGCCTCTCCTACTCATAACTTGTGCGAAATAAACTTCAAAAAAAACTTTAAAGCTTTTCAAAGGAGCAGTCAGTTTAGTAATTTTTGTGCGGTAAAGAGCCAGCCGTAGAAAGTCAGACCTCTTCACTCGACAAGCATGACCTCAATTATTTATGTTGACACTTTTAAAGTGCATACACTTATGGCCACAATTCCTTTATTTTTAACAAGGAAAATAATTTAGCTTGGCCAAGGGTGAAGGCTTCAAAATTCAGGTAAAATTATCTCTTTTTAATTCGGTGATATTTTGAGCGTTTATAACATTAAAACTTTTTATTATGATTAAATAATTCTTCACAAACTTACAAAAGTTTTTTTTTTGTGCCCAGTAAGATATATTTTTCTTGAAAAATATAAAACAAAATTAGCTTTTCTCAACTTTGTATATAAGAAATGAAAAAATTGACATGATTTTTCAAACTTTAATTTTGTCTGAAGTGTATATATATTATCTGGTTAAACTCTGCCAAACTATAGCGATACTCAATGTTTATCAACAAACTCATTCTTCATGTTAATGCCCCAACCATGATCAGAATGGCTTTTCACAAGTTGCTTTATTCTAACACAGCCAATCGTCTTTAGGTTGGCACTTGAATAACAAATGATACGTCATGATACGTCACATTCGTTATAATTGCTATAGGTATTGATATTCACTGTGGTATTTTTGAAATAAAAGAAATTAAAATTAAAAAATATCATACGATGTGCATGGGAAGCATAGGATCAAAGTTCAAAAAAGAGCAAAGATATGATGATGTATGAAAAATATTTTCTGTTGTGTGTCTGATCAGAAGTAAATGCGACTATTAGTGAGAGAAAAAGAAATTCTGCTATTCCATGATGTGTACATTACTGTGCAAGATAGAGTCTCATTAACCCGTGGAACAAAGTGTAATAGGAACGGAGAGACAAGGTGTATGAGGGTTTAATAGTGCTATTGGTTAAATACTCTGCCTATCACACAAAATTTCAAATTCATATTTATTAAGGAAACAACTGCAAAATTAGCTTGACCAAGTACCCATCATTTCAATAAGATTCGGGTCATACGCATACGCCGGTAATTTACTAACAAGTGTAATTGTTTCTTTGACGTAGAATTGCACAGTCTTTTGCTCATTGTGCACGCTAGCGTACGTTGTCGGCAACTAGAAATACATTTCTTGGTAGCAATAGTAATATTTGGTGTTCAATAGATGCAATTATGATATCTGCTGTGCAATTTGCAGCAATAGGAATCTGTACAACTCCTTCAATTCATGGGTATTGTGTTCTCTCTCTCCGAGTTGAAGTCTCATGGGGATATACACTGTTATTTTCAAGGAGTTAAATTTACTCCAAAAATGGAGTGAAAAAAAAGGTACAGGATCACTCCATTTTTGGAGTGAACTTTACTCCAATATTTTCACTCCTATTTCGGAGTACAGTTGACTCCCTAATAGAGTAAAGTTCACCCATTATTAGGAGTGAAAACCACTCCACTTGTAGAGTTTAATTCACTCATATTGGAGTACAATTTACTCCAAAAATGGAGTAAAAAAAAAGGGTACAGGATCACTCTATTGTTGGAGTAAATTGTACTCCAATATTTTCACTCCTATTTTCGAGTACAGTTCACTCCCCGAGAGAGTAAAATTCACCCATTATTAGGAGTCAAAATCATTCCACTTGTAGAGTAGGAATACAAATGTCAGGGGTAAATTTCACTCTATTTGAAATTTAACATGGTACGGCGAGTCTCACAGTTAAGATGTTATAAGCRTGAGGAAAACCACATTTCTGAGAGAACAAACTGCCAGACATACCAAATATTTAAATCATGAAAGAATGACCAATATATTATACCAACCTTTCCTTTTCTCCGGACTGTCTTCCAATCCTTCCTCCATCGCATCTACTATTCTTTTGCAGGATGCATTGGACCTGGCTAATTTCAACAGCTTCCCTTGCCATTTATCTGTCCATATTTCACAACATTTTCTTATTGGCATGTTAAGAACTCTTTCCACTTCCAATTTGAACTATTTATAAACCAAAATAAAAAGTTAAAATTATTTTTGTATGACAACAATATCTCAGAGAGTGCTGATTACAGTGCGGCTAATGAAACCGGGGCCATACATGTGAATGGCTGTATCTCATTTAATATTAAACCAATCAACACCAAACTCCAGAATGTTTGGCTTGAAGTGGTAATCTTTCTCTGATATGTAAATAAAATCTTTCTCTGATATGTAAATAAAATTGTGTTTAGGAAAAGAATTTGGCAATTCGCTCCAGCTTCTCTCGATTTGAAACGCAGCAACGAGAAAAAACTTACATCAACTTGTGATCAAATTCTAGCATATGTTCACAATTGTGCAAAAAGCTGCTTTGTGAACTTAAAAATCATTGCATTAAATTAGTATTCTTAAAATAAACCATAAACAAAAAATTGATTTATGCTTGAAGTTTTACAATAGTTATAGGAAATGGAATCAATTATGAAATCATTGTAATATGTAACAAACTCAGAAACTAACTGCAACTCAGGAAATCTCTCCATAATTTGTGGAATAGAAACTGGCATGGATAAGATTATCTCCCTCCTATGGGGGTA